TAAGTTGTTCCCAGGCCAGCTGGGAGACATAGTCTCTCCAACGTGTCCTAGGTCTGCCCCAAGTTGTTCTCCCAGAAGGACATGCCCAGAACACCTCACCAGGGAGGCATCCAGGGGGCATCCTAAACAGGTGCCCAAACCACCTCAACTGGTTCCGCTCAATGTGGAGGAGCAGCAGCTCTACTTTGAGCTCCTCACGGGTGTGTAAGATTTGAATTTTATAGGCTTCAGTTACAAGCAATTGTTTAGTGTTCATTGTTAGCTACTGACCTAAAAATCACAAGACTCACACACCTGGCCTGGCTTCTAGCACATGGTCAGCAAGTAGGTGTGGGCAGAGGCTGGCCTGCTCATGCCAAGAGCCTATAGAATTAGGATACGTGTAAGTCCAGCTTCTGTGCGGGGCAGACTCCGCCAAAAAAAATAAATGTAACCAGAAACAATGGCTTGGGGCTTTTGGGAACAGTTTTCCTGCAGAATTTCTGTATCTCAGAGCCCAGTGCTGTATAGCTTTACCATGTGACCAGACTTTGATTAATTTTTATGTTGATTTTATACAGTCCTCTTCTGTCTCCTCTTCTTGCACTTTCAACAAAAGAACTCTTTCTAACAGGTGACTGAGCTCTGCACTCTCCAGGGGAAACTCATTTCTGCCGCTTGTATCCGTGATCTCATTCTTTCGGTCATGATCCAAAGTTCATGGCCATAGGTGAGGGTAGGAATATAGATCGACTGATAAATTGAGAGATTCGTCTTGTGACCCAGCTTCTTCTTCACCACAACGGACCGGTAAAGAGACCGCATTACCACGGACGCCGCACCGATCTGTCTGTCAACCTGCTGCTCTATTTTTCCCTCACTCATGAACAAGACCCCGAGATACTTAAACTCCTCCACGTGAGGGAGCAACTTGCCCCCAACCCGGAGAGAGCAATCCACCTTTTTCCAATTGAGAACCATAGCCTCAGATTTGGAGGTGCTAATTCTCATCCCAGCTGCTTCACACTTGGCTGCAAACCCCTCCAGTGCATGCTGTAGGTCTTGAACTGATGAAGCCAACAGAACCACATCATTCACAAAGAGCAGAGACGAGATTGTGTGGCCCCCAAAACAGACACCCTCCATTCCCTGGCTGCGCCTAGAAATACTGTCCATAAGAATAATGAACAGAATCAGTGACAAAGGGCAGCCTTGGTGGAGTCCAACATGCACTGGAAAAAGGTCTGACTTACTGCCAGTAATGCAAACCAAGCTCCTACTCCAGTCATACAGGGAATGGACAGCCCGTAACAACGAGCCCCACACCCCATAACCCCGAAGTACCTCCACCAGGATGCCACAAGGGACACAGTCGAATGCCTTCTCCAGATCCACAAAACACATGTTAGACTGGTTGGGCAAACTCCCATGAACCCTCCAACACCCTAGTGAGATTATAGAGCTGGTCCAGTGTTCCACGGCCGGGGCAAAAACCACATTGTTCCTCCTGAATCCGAGGTTCGACTATCGGCCAGATTCTCTCCAGTACCCTGGTATAGACTTTACCGGGGAGGCTAAGAAGTGTGATCCCCCTATAGTTGGAACACACCCTCCAGTCCCCCTTCTTAAAAAGGGGGACCACCACCCCGGTCTGCAAGTCCAGAAGCACTGTCCCTGAGCGCCATGTAATGCTGCAGATGCGTGTCAGCCAAGACAGCCCCACAACATCCATAGACCTGAGAAACTCGGGGTGGACGTCATTCACCCCCGGAGTCTTGCCACCGAGGAGTTCTTTAACTACCTCGGCAACTTCAGCCAGGGTAATGGACAAGTCCGCTCCTGAGTCCCCAGCTCTGGCTTCCTTTATGGAAGGTGTGTCAGAGGGATTGAGGAGATCTTCAAAGTACTCTTTGACTGGCCGACAACATCCTCAGTTGAGGTCAGCAGCGCACCACCTCCACTGTAAACAGTGTTGGCAGAGCACTGCTTCCCCCTCCTGAGCCACTGGACAGGTCTCCAGAATCTCTTTGAAGCCAACCAAAAGGCTTCCTCCATGGCCTCACCAAACTCCTCCCAGGCCTGAGTTTTTGCCATGGTGACTGCCAGGGCTGCGTCCTGCTTGGCCTGTTGGTCCCTGCCAGCTGCTTCAGGAGTCCCATGAGCCAACCAGGCAAGATAGAGATCCTTCTTAAGCTTGACAGCATCCCTTACTTGCGGTGACCATGGTGGTGGTCACTGCAACAGGCCCCAGAGACCTTATGGCCACAGTTCCCAGCAGCCACCCCAACAATGGAGGTCAGGAACAATGTCCATCCATCCATTTTCCTCCGCTTATCCGGGACTGGGTCACGGGGGCAGCAGTCTAAGCAAAGATGCCCAGACTTCCCTCTCTCCAGACACTTCCTCCAGCTCCTCCGGGGGAATGCCAAGG